GCGAGAGTTTGGGCTGTACACATGCAGTTCAGAAAGCATTGAAGTGGGGACATGCTTTAACTATGAAGGGAGACGTTTACACAATAAATAGTGGGATATTGTGATGTTACCGATTCATATTAACAGCAAAGTGCAGTCTGAGATTTGTCACTTATTCCATTTGTAACTTAGTCCATCCAAAAATTAGGATTCAAAGAATCCAGTTCAGCTCTACAGTTCACTGTAGCACAACTTAGTTTGTCTGCCAAACCCACAGGAATGAGTCAGCCACTAAGCAGTCCACCCTCAGAGCCCACTCTGACAGTAGGCTGTTAAGGATCAGCTTTATTTCAGTTCACTTTGTTAAAATCCACAGCACTTAATCACATGGATTAATCCAGAAGTTTAAGTTTGATTGTTTTCGTTTATGGATGTTACCATGAAATGAAGGAGCTGCTGCATGTTTCCGCTCAGTGATAAATTCTGTCTCGATTAAAGCCGATCAGCAGCGACGACGTGAAACAAGCTGAAACGTCGTCCAATCTCCTCAGCTGAATTTCCACACTTCTAGCTCCATGACTCGGAAGTCATCGGTTTCTGAAAGGCAGCAGTTATTAAAAGTGTAGCAGGGACTGCTACGGCCCAGGTATAGGTTCTCATCCACCCACAGACCGAAGTGACCACTGTGGAAAAAGAGGGAGACGGTGGTTAGCGAAAGGAAACCGACCCTTCTTGGCTTGGTTTGAAAATTAGAGCAATATTATTTTTTGTAAGCCACAGAAGTATAAATTATGGAAGAGTGGAAGTCGAGAAAGCAACTTAATTACCTGCCTCCACCAATAGCAAAGCAATCCAAGTCTCCCTTAATAAAAAAGGAATTCTCTCCAGTCCACTTGAAACACTGCAGAGAGACGTCAGATAATCATCTCACATTTATAACACACGGAGTGTCTCTGTTTTACCTCCATCAATTCATTTTCCCAGGAAGCATCATTCATCACAACTCACATCCATACCTTCAGTCATACCATCCTGCTATTTTGCATTTTAAATGGTTTAGAATATATTTTCTACACTGAAGAAAAAAAAATCTGGATTTAATTGGTTACCTTGAAGCGAGGATGCAACATGAAGAGAAACGTTTCTCCTGTACCGTAAAACATCTCACTAGGCCTCAAAGGGTGAGAGAGGAAGGCCCCAAATATCTGATTAGGAAAAGTCATAAGAGAAAATTAAAAAAACTAAAGACTAAAGATATATATGTTTATTTGAGACAGAATAGTTCATTTTTACCAATCGATATACTGGTAAATCACTAGTATCGGCCAATATTTGCAGATATATTGGTATTTTCAATTCAATTTAATTTATAAAGTGTGCCAAATCCCAACAACATGGTAGACCCTACAATAATACATACATATATATTCATTTATAACAACTGATGAATGATAAATTAAAAGACGAGTAAAGACGAGAAGGGAGAAACACCGTTCAACCATATTATAAGCGTTAATGTTTCAGAGTTGGGCATCCTGCAACCTCCTTACTCTAAATGTGTGTTTGGAACACGACAACCAGAATAACCAGCTGATCTGAGAGT